TTTATTTATAATTTAATTGTCAAACATCGTAGGAAAAATCCAAGATTAATAATGCAATCTTGAAAAATATGTGGTTGACATATAAGAGGATTGTGTTCAAGTAATAACCGAAAGGGTCTATAGTATATGGATAAGATTGGGTGTCTTATCCTGATACTATTGATACGACCCACTTTGTAACCGTTACAAATGATTTGATCCAAATCGTTCATGTGGTGACATGTGAGTGGGAGTATCCTATGCAATGAGAGTTTGTATAAAACTGGACTAAGAAATATTTAATATCTCTTTATAATCCGTTAATTGAGAAAATTAATATTTCACATGATGACCATGTGATCTTAATCTTGAGTGAATTATGAACTCCTGCCTATGAGGGTTTGTCCTTTGATTTGTATGGGTGAAAATGGCTCTTGTAGCCGATTCAATATGTCTACCATTTTGGGGACTTTACCAAATGATAACATAATATCATGAGATGGAATTTGCTCCTTTTTATTATAAGGAAAGCAAATTAATTGTTTTCTTAAATACTTATTTTGGGACTTAAACAATGGGGTCCAACCCTCTCATCGGCCCGAAAGGGACTTGGTTTATGGTTGGATCATAAACAAATTGTTTATTAGAGAATTAGTGGTACTTAAGGTGAAAACTGTAATTATATGGGTAAAACAAACTTTTGATCCAGTTGTAATTATGAACAACTCGTGAAGGATTGACTTGCTTGTAATGATTATATCAATGGACATAACTTGTCCGTGCATAAGAGTGCAACTCTAAGTCTAGAGTGGAATGACCTATAGTTAATGAATTAAAATTGATTAATTAAAAGTTTAATTAATTAATTTTATATCATTAATTTATTAAACTCTTGATCTTATATTCGAGTCATAGCAAGGAAGATCTTGTAGAATGTGAAAGAACTTCTACATTGAATTGATATGAACCAAGAGACATCAATCATACAATATGCTTCAATGAAGATGTGAAGAAAAGGTTGTCAAAATTATCAAAAGATGTTTCAATTCATGCTACATTGAAGAAGAAAAAAGTTTGATTGTTGTAAATTTTGGGTGGGTTATAATTTAGAGTTATTGTGTTTTAAGACTTTTTATTTAATTTCGGTTATATTTACCTAATGGCTAATTATGGCCATAAAGTGTGAATGTTACAACTTTTAGAATGCTTTCATTTTGAGGCTATATAAAGTCATCTATGTTGTATTTGTAATCAGACTTAGAAGATATATCAAAAGAAGCATTTGTGCTTTTCTTTAGCCAATGGCTAAGTTTCTTTGCAACTCTTGTTGGGTTTTATGTCCTAAAACTCATAGTTTGTAAACAAAGATATATTCTATTTTCAATAAAGTTATTATTGATGTTTATTCAGTAAAAATTGTTATTGAATAAAGTGAACTTTACGATCATT